TGTAAAGCTAGATAAAACATACAATTGTTAACAAAAAGATTTAAAATAGTGTTTAGTTTAGATGTTAAAAAAATCCATTGATAGTTGTTTTGTTATTTTTATTTTTATGTTATAGTTATGCTGTTAAAAATGTAATAACAAAAATAACCTTTATAACTATGCCTTATTTCAAAAACTTTATACTTGAAAATATACTAAAAACTAACTTGACCATTGAAAACTGATTTTAGCAATGTTGATGAAGCTATTTCGCTCAGCTTTTCTGTTGAAAACTTTAAAATTAAATAAGTCTGTCTTTGTTATCAGTATAAAAAACAAAAACTTCGCTGTAAAAATTACTTTTATTAAATGTGCTCTTCGAATGACAACTACAAATAGAACAAAATTATAAATTTGAATAACTGTATAAATCATTACCTCTGCCAACAAATTTGTCAATATTAAGTATATTGTTTGAATAGCCTTAAATACAAATTTCACATCGAGTAAGTTTTTTTTGTAATAATTTATCAACATATTTCAACGATATATATATTTTATATATATATATATATATATATATATATATATATATATATACATATTTATATATATATATATTTATATATATACATTTATACATATAAACAGATATAAATTTATATAATGTAACTTGAAAAATATCTGTGTATGACAGTTTGTATGATAAATGTCTATTGAATATTTTTTTAATATTTTTCTTTTTAAAAATTAAAAATATATTTACTTGCACACTCTTTGCAAATAGATTTCCCATTTCCAAGTGTTAATCCATAACTTTGCACATCTTTTTTGTTACACAAAACACAATCTATTACAGATGACATTTTTATTTCTAAATATTTAGTAAACATTAGCAAAAAACTTGTGGTAATAGACATAGATAATTCAACCTAAAATTTCATCTTTCAAAAATTATTTGAAATCCAAAATACTAACTAAAATTCAGTTAATGAATAACACTTTATATTTCAAAAAAAACCAAGAGAAATTCTAAAATCTTAAATCGATTTTGTATTAACACTTTTAAATTTTAGAAAAATGCCAGAAAGACTACTACAGGAAAATAAGTCTTGTTTATGTTTGTTGAAAATAAGTCTTGTATATGTTGAATGTTTAAGCAAAAGTTCAACTGAATCTTTGCTTAAGCTTTTATGAGTTGTCAACTCATTAAATGTTTTGTACAAGTACATAAATGGAAGAGTACTAAAGAGATTGTAAGTATATTGTGATTCCTGATATATCAAATGATACTGATGGATCAGCAATCATGATTCACACTTTCTTAATGCTTTATACTGCTGTACAAATTGTACAACAGTATATATTTTACTACAATATATATCATATTGTTGATAATTTATTTATGAAGACATACCTTTTTTAATATACATTTTAAAAATATTAAAGTAATAGTAGTAATTATTATCATATTAGTGTTCATATAAGTTTGTAATTTATATAATGCACACCACTTTCAAAAAAACGGCTAAATTGAATTATATTTTTTTAGCCTAATTTTAACGGTAACAGCGTAATTATTTATAGAATTGCGACATGTAGCTTTTCTATTCTAGTGTAACATTTCTACCAGGTCGAGTAGCTTTTCTACCCAAAAAATGTAGCGAATCTATGAGGTGTAGCAAATCTACCCAAATATGTAGCATAAATGTAATCTAAAAAAAAATGTAGCAAATCTCAAAGTACGTCTGATCATCATCATCATCATCATCATCATCATCATCATCATCATCATCATCATCATCATCATCATCTTCATCATCATTATCATCATCATTATCATCATCATTATCATCATCATTGACATCATCATTATCATCATTATCATCGTTATCATCATCATTGTTATCATCATCATTATTATCATCATCATTATTATCATCATCATCATAAGCTTTATTGTTATCATCATCATAGTTGTTGATACTATTTTTTTTTAACTTTTTGCTTTTTTCTTGTAGCGAAAGGCATACTCAAAGGATGGAAGCATAGATGGTAAATGAATTTACTTTCCTTAACTCTTAAAGTGATATATTTTATTATATTAATATTGTTAGTGCTTTAGATTTTATTTGTATAAAATCTATTTTATGTTATTTATAATTATTGTTTAGGCAAACCTGTTTTGAAAGAATTGGGTTCAAATTGGGATTGAGTTTTTTTTGTTTTGTTTTTTTGAAAAATGAAGCTTAGAACTACTTTTTTATAAAATAACAGAACAAAGAAAGAGAATTAGTTTTTTTTTTGAGGAATATGAGGGAAGTTAATAGTTCCTTAAAGGTTTTAGATATTGCTTTTTGCCAGTTTTTTGTTAGTAGTTTTTAGAGTTTTTGAATAATTACTTAGATGCTTTAGCAGGTTTGAAGTTTGTCAATTTGGATAGACAAGAATTCATTGAGACAGTTTTTACATCTGGCCAACACTCTTTTTGTTAGACAATGTTAAACTTGTGATTCCTGAGTCAGATGGCATGCTATCTTTTTCTTGAATCTTGTTAGAATCTGAATCTATATCATATTATGCCATTGTAACTTATATATATATATATATATATATATATATATATATATATATATATATATATATATATATATATATATATATATATATATATATATATATATATTTATATATATATATATATTAGGGTGGTTTTTTTTTATATGGAAAAATTTTTACAGGAACACGTGCAATTTCACGTCTTTATATGACCACGCAAAAAAAAAATGTTTTAACGATTTGACCACGGCATATTTTTAAAATTTAAAAACGCGCTACAAAAACGTAAGTAAACTTATCTGAAAAAAAAAATTTTTCAAAATAATAAATATTAACGAAAGAGAAAATAAAGAAAAAATACTTAGTTAAAGCAAAAATACAAAAAAATAAATATATATAACGCAACTAAAACAAAACTCATCAAACTAAAATGCTTAGTCTATTTAATTTACACATTAAAAAACCTTTTCAACCTTTGTTTCAACATTTTTATATATTTTTTATTTATTTGATATGTTCAAAAGTTAAATATTTCTCTTTAAAAAAAAAATAGTTATATAAATAAAATAAAAATATATTTTATAAATACTTTTTTTTAAATTAATTAGAAGTGTTTTTTTTTTACTTCATTAAAAGCGTTTCGATAATATAAAAGCATTTAAGATCAAACTTATAAAATTGTAACGGTTTTCTAAAACTTTTTTTTTTAACGAAATTTTGTTTATCTTTTTAAATGCATTAACTTTAATCATTCTTAAATTTAAATTCGTTAAAGAGACTTTCGTAGTCGTAGATTATCATCGATTATAAAAATAAAACAATTTTTTATTTTTTAATAAGATTTATTTTAGAAATGAACACTTAAACAATTTATATGTTTTAAATTAAAAAAATATATACAACTGTCAATTATATTTAAAAAACAAAACTTTTTTTCAGTAAATTGTTATTTTATTTAAAATCGTTTCGCTAATATAAAAACATTTGTTAAGAAGTTTTAATGTAATTAATTTTACTTTTTTAGAATATTTTTTATTTAGCGCATTTCTAAAATGTTTTTTGAATTAGCAGCGGTCAAACCGTCATAGCAAAATGTAACTTGCGTGGTCAAATAAAGATGTGAAATCGCATGTCTTCCTGTGAAAGCCTGATATAGTTAAAAAAATTTTACAAACTGAAAATGGGAAGTGGTCCCCCAAACCCTATTTTGGAACCCTAAATTGACCAAAATTTGTCTAAAAACTTATTCTTGTAATTCTTCTTTTATTTCATTGAAAATACTGCTATAAATTGATCTAAAAACAAATAATATAAAGTATTATCATGTTACAACATAGATAGTTCACAGAAGACTGGAAAGTACAAGCAAATTTAGATTAACCCCCCTCAGCATTATTTACCCAAAATCACTCCTAAATGCCTATTTTGATTTCAAAAACATTTTATTTGCTATAATTTCAAGTAAACTTTTTCTAAGTAAACTTTAGCTCAGAAATTAAATTTGTATAAATTTATTAATAGTAATGATATGGTTGGCCATTGTTGGGTGGGAAAGGGTTAGGAATGAATGGGGGGCGGGTGTATTATCTAAGACTCTTAATTTTTTTATTATGTTTTCAGCACTTTATAATTAATAAATTTCTGTTATATTCTTTCTATAATAGTAAAAAAGTATAAAAATATTACATAAGAAGATGGCTGCTTCAAACAAAGCAACACGCTCAACTACAAATGCTTGGCTAGTTTGACATATTCTCTCCACAATAGATGGACCGAGTCAGTTGCCAACAATTGGTGTTGCACTATGTAGAGTTTTTTATGAAATGATAGTCAAAAAGTCTACTCTTTCAATATCCTGCAACACAGTTGCAGATGAGGTTATGATTTTCTGGCTTAAGGCTAATATTCCAACTATAGCAAAGCCTCATGCAGTTGCTAAACTAAAGAGTATTCATAAGCAACATGTTTAAGTGTCTAAGCACAGAAGTAGAAAATCAGCTACTCAACACAGCAATGAAGAAAAATTCACCACCAAGATGTCTACACTTTTTGATATTGCCCATAGTGAATGGGATTGTCTCATCAAGATAAATGAATATAAACAATTTCTGACAGACCAGAGAGGCCCCAGAAAGATGTTAATGACATCAAAAGACTTAATGCATAAGAAAGCAGTTGTAAAATACAGAAAACGCAAACTTGAAGAAAAAAAAACTCTATGAACAACATAAAGAAAGTAAAGTTAAATCTACAGAAACATTAATGAATGGCAATTCAGATTACTTTTTAGATGAAAATTCTGACTGTGATGCGTCAATTCAAAAACAAAAAGTTTTTAATCGTCAATTAATTTCAAAACATTCTACTATGGGCACTAGCCAACTCTCAATAACAGTATCCAAACGTTGTATTCTTGACAATCAACTCTTTCATGCAGCATTAGACCGAACAAAAATAACACCACAACAAGCAATGATGGTTGTCACACCAGCCCTAGCTGCAATCGGTATTGATGTAAATAAATTAACATTATCACATTTCACTCTAATAGAAGCTCGAAGTTATAATGGGGCAATAACAGTCATACAGAAGTCAATGAACCAAAGTGATTCGTTTTTAGCCTGTCGACATCATATTCTTGAAATCTGTGCAAATGCAGTGTTTGATACATTTTTTGTATCAAAAGGACCAAACATTGATCTTTTTGAGTGAAGTCCCAGTAGGAGCTAATAGAAAAATCAAAGTTTAAACCACTTGAAAGTGATACAAGCGGAACTGAATGCCTTCCAAAGCTTGAAAAAGAGTGGCTTGCCTTTCGAAAATCCAATGTAATGGAAAATAAAACTTAAAGGACACTCAACCACGTAATGATTATAAAGAGTTTGGGCAACTAGCTCTTCTCCTTTTAGGAGAAAATAATGATACAAAATGTATTCGCACTCCTGGGGCTTATCATCGTGCAAGATGGATGGCTAAAGGAATATACAGTTTAAAAATTTTTGGTTTTTGTCATCAATTAAATGTCACAGATAAAAAAATCGAGATTTTAAAAAGAATTTGTCTCTTCATAACCACAATTTATGTATGTTTTTGGTTTTCAGCACCTCTCACAACAGATGCACCAAAAAATGATCTCCTTCTTTTAAAAGTAATTGAGAACTATTGTCAAGTTGACAGCAAAGTTGCAAATGTTGCAAAAAATAAAATTAAACTTGAATTATGGTATTTAAGTGAAGATCTAGCTGCTCTCCAATTTTCTTTTGAAGAGAAAATGGAAATTGTAAATGCCTTACAAAAAGAACCATTACCAGGTGACAATAGAAGGCTTGCTTTAAACAAGATTTATACATTCTCTAAACTTTCTATAGCTAATTTTTTTACACGACACTCAATGAATTTGTTTGACTCTCTCAATCTACCAAAAGAATTCTTGACATCGTCTCCTAAATCTTAGGCAAATCGTGATGACTACAAGGCTGCTTGTAAGATTGTTCGTGCCATGAAAGTAGTTAATGACAGTGCACAACGGGCAGTTAAATTAGCCACTGATTTTAATGAAGTTTTGACAAAAAATGACTATCAGCGTCAGCTTCTTTACCAAGTAGTTGAGTATCAGAGGAAAAAAATTTCAACTAAAGCTACAAAGAGACAGTTAAGCCATAATCATTCTAAATAACAGCAATTTAATCTATTCAAATACACATATAATATGAACTAAATATATAGTTAAGTACATATATGGCTATTGTTTTTATGTAGTATTTTAATTTAGTTATATGTCAAGGTTTGATTAAATTATGTATGTTGTTTTATTAGAATAATTTTAAATGTTATTTGTAATATGTTTTCTTAAACGCATAAAATCATATTTTTTATTATTTTAAAATTTTTGTTTGAGTACATTATTTTTTGTTATTTTTTAATTAAAAAATTTGAATTAGGGCTGAGTTAGAAATGACTGTTAGAGGGGCATATGGGGATTTAGTTTGGGGCATATGGGCCAATAGTACTCACAATTAAAAATACTGAAGAAATGTTAAAAAATAAGAATCTTTTTTAAGTTATAACAGCTTTTTGTATTTTTACCCCCCTTCCCCTTGCCCCAAGTTACCCCTGCTACATACATTCATACACTTGTCTTCACCCTAACAAGTAAAATTATTGCATGTAGCTCTGGCAATAGTTTATTCTTATGCATTTCAGAAAATTATCATTTTCAACAAAAACGGGCCTCAAAAGGGCTTAAAAAACATGTCCGGGTCTTAGTGCCCTGAGGGAGTGGGGTCTGGGAATTTGTCACTGCTAGATACATTCTTTTTATTGTCATCACCCTAATAAGTAAAACTGATGCATGTAACACTAATACAAGCTGATTTTAATAGACTTCAGATATATTATTTTAGACAAAAATGGATTTCAAAAGAGCTTTAAAAACAGGTCTGGGACCTCGCGTTCCTAGAGTGGAGTCTAAGAATAGGTCATTGCTGTATACATTC